ACCCTGTGAGCCCCCCCGGGGCCCCCGCAGCTGCAGGGCACAGCAGGGGCAAGAGCTGCCCCTCGGGAGGCCCCGTGGGCACTCGCTGCCAGGCCGGCTGCTGGCAGCGGCCGCGTGGCCACGGAGTGAGAGCGGCGCTGAGACGGTGCCTGCCCGGTGCCGCCTCTGCAACCCCCGTACGGGCAACGTGAGGGGGCCGCAGGGCCCCGGGTGCAGCGGGGGGCCCCAGCGCTCGGTGCTCCCAGGGTGACACTGGCTCCCTTTGGGGCTGCTGGTCCCCTGCCAGGCTCCTTCTGGCTCCCTGCCATGCAGCAGAAAGCAGGAATCCTAGCAAGGAGCAGGAACGGGGCTGCTGGGAGACCGCCCTGTCCCGCCACCAGAACAAACAAGCGGGGCCTGCCCAGATGCCAGGGCGATGGGCACATCTCCCTGCTCTGCACTGGCTGCCCGCGGGGACGTGCCTGCAGGAAAGGCATCGCCTCTCCCTGGAGGGTGATGCAGCCAGGACGGGCGGGGATTGGGCTGCGCTCTGGGGTTCCCGGCAGCCCAGCAGGGCTGCGCAGGGAAGGCTGCAGCGATGGGAAGTGCAGCCACCGCCTGGCCGAACGGCTGGTTGCACCTGCTAAATCCCTTCCTTGCAAAGGACGTCCAGGATTCGCGGCTGGCCGGATCCTACCCCCGCGCGTGGCAGATCCCGTGCAGGGTCCATCGCCTCGGCTCTGTGCAGCTGCACAGGGACGTCCTGCCCCTCCCCAAGGCCCCGGGGAGCTGGCAAGGGGCCCGGCCGCAGGTGTCACCTCATCCCGGAAACTAAGGGTAGAGGGGGATCTTCCCAGGGACAGGCCCAACAGGCTGCACCAGGAAACGGGTGCTGGGTGCCCGCACCCAGGAGCAGGCTGAGTTCAATGCGCTTTTGTGCCCTCCAGGAAGGAGGCCCCAAAAATATCGCAAGCCCCTGCACAACCCCCTTCCTGCCCCCACTCGCACAACCCCGGCCCCTTCCTGCACTCCCTGGCCGTGAGGTCCTCCCTGGGCTCCTGCAGCCACCCAGCCCCGGGGTCTTGCCTGCGAATACGGGTAGTCTGCGCGGGGGCAGCCTGTGCTGCAGCCACGGTGCCCTCCCCTGCGCCGGAGGGTCCTGCTGGGCACGGACCGAGCGGGAGGGAAAGGGCCTGGGCACGGGCAGGGCTGCCTTCCTGCCGGTGCCTCCTTGCACCAAGGTCGCGCGGGCAGCGACGCCTGCTCGGGCAAAGTTAAGCGGTAACTCGGGAGCGGGCGGTGGGTGCTGGTGGCACAGAGGACATCGCGGGGCAGCTCTCACCGGGCTCCGCGCTCGGTGCCGGCACGGGGCGTCCCCGCGCGTGGGCGGCGCGGAGCGG